TTCCTTCCTTCCTTCCAAAACTGTGTGTGTTTTGTTCCTGTGGAAAAGAACAGCGCATTATTCCCACACTAACATCACTTCACTTCCAATTGACTTAGTTTTCTCCCTCGGCTTACAAAGGGAGCCTTTTTTTCTTTCTAGACACACACACACACACACACACACACACACACACACACACACACACACACACAGATTCCAGTTGAAGGGCAAGTTAGATTGTGCGACGTGAATAGCAAAAGAGGCGCGTTGTTTTGCAGCTCCCGGTCTGCACAGGCGCATGGGGCAGGGGACGAGAGCTTCTAGGCAGCCCTTGGTTTACAGCCGGTGGGGAATCCAAGGTACAGGTAGTCCTCAACAATGGTTTGTTTAGTGACCGAAGTTAACAACGGCACTGGAAAAAAATGGGACTTACGACCACTTTTCGCACAACCATTGCAAGCCTCCCTGCGGCAGGATATCAAAACCCAGGCGCTTGGCTCGTATTTATGACGGCGTCACGCCTGACCAGCAGAGTCGACGGGGGAAGGCAGATTTCACCTAATTACTAACCTAACTGCGGTGATTCACTTAAGGGCTTGTGGCCAGAAAGGACGGAGGAGGATGGGACCTGCAGCATTCCCTGCTTCCCTGCTCTGCTGGGTCGGGTAGATGTGACCGGCAAGAGTCGGTCCCTCAGATCACCTGGTCCCAAAGCCATGAAGGGCTTTAAAGGGGACAACCAGCACCTTGAATTGCACCCGGAAGCAAATCAGCAACTAATGCAACTCCCACAGAAGAGGTGACAGATGCGCACACCGAGGTCTGCACAAAAACCATGCAGGCTGCTGCATTTTTGCACCAACTGGAGCTTCCAGATGCTCTTCAGGGGCAGCCCCATGTAGAGCCCGTTGCAATAATCAAGACGGGAAGTGACCAGGGCATGAGTGACTGTGAGTAGGGACCGCTGATCCAGGAAAGGGCGTAACTGATGCACAATCCGCTGTTGTGCAAAGGCCCTCCCGGCCACAACCCCGCCACCTGCTCTTTGAGCAGGAGTCATTGAGTCCAGGAAAACCCCGAGATTACGCGCAGGGTCTGTTTGGGGTAGTGCCACCCCATCCATGGGTGGTCGTAGGTGGAGGACTCCCTGTATTCTCTCCTGGTCTTCACGGGTACCTTTTGCCTTCCAGAGGATGGATCCCACGGGTGTAAAAGTGCTGGAAACAGCCGAGGACATCCAGGAGAGGCGGCAGCAGGTTTTGGATCGGTACCACCGGTTTAAGGAGCTCTCCACGTTGAGGCGCCAGAAGCTTGAAGATTCCTACCGGTTCCAGTTCTTCCAGCGGGACGCAGACGAGCTGGAGAAATGGATCCAGGAGAAGCTGCAGATCGCCTCTGATGAAAGCTACAAAGACCCTTCGAATCTGCAGGTAAGGACCTCCTCAGGTGTGGGGTGGAAGCAGCTGAGGTATCACAGGAAAGCTCTGCGCAGAACTGATGAGGCCTACGTTTTATATATATCTATATATCTATATATTCCCCCCCTCCCCAGGGAAAACTGCAAAAGCACCAAGCCTTTGAGGCTGAAGTGCAGGCCAATTCTGGAGCCATCGTTAAGCTGGACGAGACGGGGAACCAGATGATCAATGAGGGGCATTTTGCCGTGGAAGTCATCCGGGTGAGTGTGGATGGCCTCCAGCAATCTTCTTTCAGGTCTGAATCGCGGAGGGTGGATCTGCCCGGCTGAACTGGGCTGAAAGCAGCCGATGAATAATCGAAAACCCAGCAGTAAAAATCCACTCTTGTCTGGTTGCCTTTGCGGAAGACGTTTTAATGCCGAGCGTTGAATTTATCCCTCCCGACCAAGAAATAAAGGGAGATTAGCCTAGATCTGTTTTGAGCTATTTAGCTCTCATCAGCTAGCCCTGCGGGGGGGGGGGTGTCAAACTGAAGGCCCAGGGGCCCCATCCAGCCCACCGGGGCACTTAGATCTGGTCCGTGGGGGGCCACCTTGGAAACAGCGAAGGGCCCACGGTGCTTCTGCCAGCAAAAATGGAACTTGGGAGCCACCACAGGCACCCCTGAATCGAGCGATATCAAGCTGGCCATGCCCACCCCCGGAGGTCAAACACAACCCTAATGTGGCCCTCAATGAAATCGAGTTTGATGCCCCCTTTCTGGGGTTCAAACCCAGGCGACTTGTCCATTAGGTAGGCATATTAACCTCTAAGCCACAGGCTCTCGCTTTGTCGGCTACACCAGGGGAGAGATTAAACGGGGTTGTTTTTTCCCTCGATGGGACCGGTCTATCAAACGGAAGCGACGTGCTCTGTCCCATATTAGGGCCAGGTTGCCCTCATAGACCGGTCTCATGGGGGAAAAAAACCAAAAACACTTTTAGTGCCCAGGTTTCCCTGACAAGGCTCTCTCCTTTCTAACTCTGATTATGGAGAAGCCCACGGGCTTTCTTTGGTTGAAGCCCGCGTTCAGAAGAGCCACCTCTCGGTGTCGTTCACAAGTTACATGGCCAGCAAAGCCCAGCTTCTCCCAACTTATGAATGGGCGGTGGGTGGTAGCTCTGGGGACATTTTTCGTTCTCTCTGCCATGGTAATCTGTCTGTTCAGTCTTTCACCCCTTACAGGACTGCCCAGCGCCCAATAGTCACCACCACCCAGGTTGGGGCCCACATACGAGTAGGTGGCTATGTGGGTGGTGTGTTGTAGTGGTTTCTTTTTCTTTTTTTTTTGAACTCTTCTTGTTCTTTGAATGCCTCTGTGGTTTTTTCCCCCCTCTGAATTCAGCTGTGCCTCTCTCGTTTCCCTTCAGTTGGAGAATTCCTCTGCATGGCACACACACACACAAAAAACATGTCTCTTTTCATACGAATGGCACCCCGGACTGCATCCTGACACGTATTCCTTAATATCATGTGTACCCTCCCTTGGGTCTCCTTCCCTCCCTCCTCCCCCAAAGAGACCCTCTGAGATTTAAAAACCCAGAGACAAGAGGGAAGGGTGGAAAAATGTCGATTTTAGGTTCAGCAACATCTCAACTGTAATGAAACAAACTTCCCTTTCATTCCTGCTGTTTACCTAACGATGCCATTAGGCAAGCAATGTCTTTTAGGTCACGTCCCATTTGCACTTGACAATACTTTACACAATTGATGTAAATCAATGCCAACCATTTGCATAAGGGCTTCCTTATGCAAATCAGCCCAAGGGTGGACACTCTTGGTCATGAAGGAAATTCTTCCACCCAATTTGTCTAGGGAAATGAGGCTTTCCCCTGAACCTCAAACCACAAAAGGCATCCTTGTCCAAAAGGGCTTAAAAACCATTGCAGATCACAAAACCCCAGAGTGCCCTTTTAACACTCACCTGAATATTACTCAGAATAGGAGGGAACCTCCTCCCATGACAAAGTCAATGTCCTATGATGACCTGGGGTGTGGTACAAAGGCAAACCAATCACATAAGTAAGAAGAGTCCCTTTAGTACCTCCAACTTTGCCCCCAATGTCCAGGTTACCTTCGGCTGGAGAAAAAACTCTCCCAAGGACAGCCTTTAAGCAGAGGAAATTCAGTCAGAAAACAAAGTACATACAAACTGTAACTAAAAATCCACACAAACCACACTGAAATAATTAACTTGACGGGGCAGGAGAAGGAATTGCAGACTTGAAAGGCCAGCAAAACACACGCAGTTGGGAAGACACCTCTATGACACCAGATAATTCATGATTTGCTCTCAACAGTTGGCTGTGCTCAGCTTCCCTTTTTAAACACTGTGTTCCCAGCTGCAGCTAATGAAGGGTATCAGGGCCCTTTCCTCCCCCGTAAGCCATGCAACCCACATTGCTCTCTTCTCCGTTCCTCCCTGCGTGCCCTAGGAGGAAGAGCGGGTGGGCCTGGGTCTTCCTCTGAATTCCCTCTCCCGTGCTCTACCTCTCCCCGGCTCTGCCCAGCCGGCCTTTGCCCTTCCCTAGTTTCCTCCACAGCCAACGGAGCCACACTCCCACTTCCTGTCAGCTGCTTGGCCTCCCCCTCCGAATCAGATTCCGACAGGAGCATGATATGTCTTCAGAACTTCCTCATCATTTCACAGACACGATCCTGAGCTATGTCTCCCCTCCCTGAAATACGATGTCAGGATGCGGGGAACTTTCCAGGCATGTTCTGGTGGCTGATTTGTTTCCAGCAAGAAACCTTTGTTCTTGCCCTCTGCGGATTATCCGAGAGGAAGTTTAGACCCACCTCGGCCTCAAGCAACGGCTTGCTTGGAGGTTTGCTTTGGACCCTCATTTGTCTGTAGCAGTATAAGGTCTCCTGCCAGAGCAGAGAGGGTTGGACTAGGAGACCTCTGAGGGTCCCTTCCAACTCTATTGAGTTTCCCCTTTGAGCAACGTACCGTGACAACTTACAAACGTTAAAACCGCATACTTTCAACAGGTCTGCCTATGTCAGAGAGAGACCTCCCTAATCTGGCTTTAATTGATGTTCCCAGAACAGAGGACTGTTGCCAAGTAAAACAGGTTGATGCTTTGTGTTTGCAAGTGGTTGCTTGATGGATGGTGTTTCCCCCGGGTTTTTTTTTCTCTCTCTCTCTTCACCTTCCACAAGAGTCTGTTGACTTTGCCAATATTTTGGTTCCCTCCTTAAAATCCTGAATTCAGGCCGCAGAGCTGCCTTGTAGCATTTGGTGAGCACTGAGCTGTGGTGGCGCAGTGGTTAGAATGCAGTACTGCAGGATAATTCTGCTGGCTGCCAGCTGCCAGTAGTTCAATCCTGACTGGCTCTTACCCTATCTATCTATCCCTCCCTCCCTCCCTCCCTCTCTCTCTCTATCATCAGCTGTGGTGGCGTAGTAGTTAGTATTCAGTATTTCAGGCTAACTCTGCCCATTGCCAGCAGTTCGAACCTGACTGGCTCAAGGTTCATTCAGCCTTCCATCCTTCTGAGGTTGGTAAAATGAGGACGCAGATTGTTGGGGGCAAGAGGCTGATTCTTTAAATTGCTTAGAGTGGGCTGTAAAGCACCGTGAAGCGGTATATAAGTCTAAGGGCTATTGCTATCTATTTCTATGTCTGTCTGTCTGTCTATCATCTATCTATCATATCTACTGTATATATCTATATCTAAGAGTTGTGGTGGCACAGTTATTAAAATGCAGTACTGCAGGCTAACTCTGCCCATTGCCATTAGTTCAAGCTGATCAGAGCTCAAGGTTGATTCATCCTTCCATCCTTCCGAGGTGGGTAAAATGAGGACCCAGATTGTTGGGGGCAAGAGGCTGACTCTGTAAACCGCTTAGAGAGGGCTATACAGCACAGTGAAGCGGTATATAAGTCTAAGTCCTATTGCCATTGCTGTTTTGTTTATGAGGAGCCTGTACAGCTCAGCCCGAAGTAAAAATATATTCACGTTAAATCGGCTCATATGAGCAACTTTTGTGTGTGTGTGTGTGTGTGTGTGTGTGTGTGTGTCTAAGGCAAGTCATGGTTATTGTCGTCCTTCTTCCCCAGAGTCGACTGCAGGAGCTTCACCGGATGTGGGAACTGCTTCTGGAGAAGATGCGAGAGAAAGGGGCCAGGCTGTTCCATGCCCAGAAGCTGGTGCAGTACTTACGAGAATGCGGGGATGTGTTGGATTGGATCAATGACAAGGTCTCTGCGTCAACAGCCCTTCCTGGACTTAGTTGTTTCGTTTTTTTACTTTGAAGGTCTAATGGGAGAAAACAAGGGAACAACATTATTTGAAAATACCAGTCTGGTTATCAACAATCAAGGCATTTATACCTCTCAAATGTTTTTAAAATGGAACATATTGTTAGATCCAATGATGTTTTCAACGAATGGGGTGAACTCAAAACAAGAACTTAATGAGAACAGTGAAAGTTAAAATGGTGTAGGTTCTCCTGCTTGAGAGAACAGGGGGCTGGACTAGAAGACCTCCAAGGTCCCTTCCAGCTCATTCTATTCTAAATAAGATAGTTCCGTTTGAAGTTACAACAGCACTGAAAAAAGGGACTCATGACCGTTGTTCACACTTAACAACTGTTGAGGTTGCATTCCGATGGTCACATGTTCAAAATTTGGCAACTGACTTATGTTTACAGAGTCCCAGGATCAGTTGCGGAGTCCCGGGATCGTTTGATCACTTTTTTTTTTGCAATTTCCTGACCTGCAAAGTCAACGGGGGATCCAGGTTCCCTTAGCGACCCTATTGCTGATGTAACCTCAGCAGTGATTCCCTTTACAAGGGTGCGCAAGAAAGTCCATAAGACGAGGCGAAGTTCACTCAACGAATGCCTCTCTTGGCGGCAGAAATTTGGGGATCGATTGTGGTGGTCCGTCAGGGGCTTAACTGTGTTTCATTGGGGAAGCAGAATTGTGCTTTTAAAGAAGCGAAGGATAAGGATAAGTAGCAGGTTTGGGAGATCCACTGGCCTTGATTTAAATCTGGGACGGAACCAGGAAACTGATTAACAAAGGGGAAACATTTTCTCAATGTTCCAATAGAACACCTGGCTAGCTTACCCTATTTCCCCGAAAATACGACCTACCCTGAAAGTAAGCCCTAGCTTGATCCTTACACGTGTGCCCTATATAAGCCCTACCCCCAAAATAAGCCCTAATTAAGACCCTGCCCACTCCAGAGTGCACAAGTAAAAATTAAGCTAGGGTGCAGATGCAGGTGGTGGAGCTGCCCTACTCCTTATCTTTGGACAGGTGTAGCCGGGCCTCGCACACCCCGACACCTGCCTTGCCGATCCATTTCTTCTGCAGCCGGCAAGGCTGGCCAGGTTTTCCTGAAGGCCTCTGGAACTGGTAACAAAGCTCTGGATCGATCCAGAGCTCTGTTATTGGCTGCAGAGGCCTTCAGGAAAGCCTTGCCACCTGCAGAAGAAGTTCCTGAAGGCCTCTGACAGCGAAAAGGAGGCCGGGGGTGATGTGTGTAAATGAGGTTAGTCAGTGGATGACATCCCCTGAAAATAAGACCTGGTGCCTTTTTTGGTGGCAAAAAAATGATAAGACAGGGTCTTATTTTTTGGGGGGGGGGGAATGGTAGCTTACTCACTATCTAGAATCAATCTTCCAACACTGAATTCAAGATTCCCTCTTCCAATCTTCAGCTCTCTTTCAGAAGAGAAGGTCTTAACTCTCTCAGACCCTTTAAAAGCTCACCAAGCGCTGCCACTGCGGACCAGTTATCCCGGTCTGTTCCTCTCCTAGCCTGCTGACCGAGCTTTTCATCGTTGTTGTTGTTCCCAGGAGGCCATTGTAACCTCGGAGGAGCTGGGCCAGGACCTTGAGCATGTGGAGGTGTTGCAGAAGAAGTTTGAAGAGTTCCAGACGGACCTGGCAGCCCACGAGGAGAGGGTGAACGAAGTGAACCAGTTTGCCAGCAAGTTGATCCAGGTCAGACACTCGAGCGATGGTGGGAGCCGCTGGCATGGGTGGGCTGCTTAGATCCTGTGTGTTTTGACCTAGGCTTCCCCGACAGCACGAAGCCGACTCCTTGTCTCGACAAAAGCCCTTTTATTTAGTTTACAGTGAATTCCTCTCCAGCAAAATCCCGGCCAACTGTCTTTCAAGAGATTCCACAATTACAGACCTTTATCGGGCTTGGAGAGTTGCCAGGCCGATATCTTTCAGATGCCGCATTGTAGCAGACAATAATTAGCAAGAACGCACGAACAGATCTTCACCCAAGTGAACAAATTGTCTCCTCCAAAACCCCACTTTTTCCCTCCTCTTTTATTCCCTCTGGGAGGAGCCATTCACTGTCCACCTGTGGCTTTACTCCCGAGTCGACCCTTGTTCCTTAGCTGTTCCCTTCTTCTGGCAGCTCTGTGCATGCGCACACTGGGAACAGGCTCCAGCTGCTCTTCTTCCCCACTGATCTCCGACTCTGAAGGCAGCGGATACCTGTCGGATGGCCCTGGCCCCATCTCTGCCTCCGACACAGAGCCCTCATCAGAGCCTTCCCCAGACTCCAGGACTGGCCCATGTCCCTCCCCAACCTCCTCACTCTCCGAGTCTGCTGCCAGCTGATGGGCCACAACACTGCGGCCTTGGGCATTTGACTTTCATCTTGCCACACCTCCCTGAAACTTTAATGTGAAATGTTTCTAGTGCACCTGCAACCATGCAGAAAGTGCTTATTCCAGTTGGGGCTGGGCTTTTGGCCCAGTAAGCATGCCCTGCCTTGCCCTGCCCATGTCTTGGAGTCAATACTTTCCACCTGTAATATTAACCCTTTAGGTTAACCCTGTCTTTAGTTCACCTGAAGGCTAAATATGGCATTGCTATAGCTATATATTTTTAAAGGAATACTTACCTTACCTATCACACCATCCATTCTGCTTTCCATCATTCCTAAGGAACATGGAGCTCCTTAGCTGCTTTTTTGCGGCTAGAAACTTCTGAAGTGCCTCATTGTAGCATGGCCATTTTTCTGTGCCCTTCTCAAAATGACAAAACAAAACAAAACACCCGTGTTTCCTGACCTCTGAAAGGGATTTAAGGCAGCCCTCCCCCCCCAACTTGGCACTTCTCTTGTCCCGCACGTTAAGGATTTAAAGGGTGTGAATCCAGGAACACAAACTGGGAGTGGGTGGACGGGGGGAATGGTTCTACAGCGGATAGTAGCTCTGTGACCAAGTGTCAAGATTGCTTCTGTCAACCCTTAATGGTTTTCAACTTGCCAATGGACTGGTGGGCAGGGAAGGGGGGAATGGAATGCCGAGAATGTACGCGGAGATCGTGAGAGCATGGAAACCATCAAGGTCACCCCTGCAGGTGTTGGAGAAAGAGAGGGACTGTTCCCACAACAAACAAGACGTCTCGTAATTAGACCAGGGGTGTGGAGAAGGGGGAAGCTATTCTTTAACTAGGCAAGCATCTGTGCGGGAAAACCAGAACTGATTTTCTTTCATCGGTACCAAAACGGCGTACCCAAATAAAGTTTTTTTACCTTTGGGAATTCAAAGCTTGCGAGAGTGTTTCCTTACTTTGGGTTCACTAGTCGGGACAGCTGACACCCAAGTCCAAAGCATTTCCAGGACATGGGCGGAAGATGTAACAAATTCTGGTATTAGTCCCCTTTGTGGAACGATTGAGATTTGGGTGCCAGGCAGTAAGCCGTTGGCTTTCCGATCGTGAAAGAACCACCCAAAGATTCTCCGCTCTCCCCTTTCTAGGAACAGCACCCGGAAGAGGAGCTGATTACGTCTAAGCAGGATGAAGTCAACACAAGTTGGCAGCGGCTGAAAGGACTGGCTCTTCAGAGGCAGGGGAAGCTGTTCGGAGCCGCCGAGGTGCAACGATTTAACAGGTATGAGTTTGACCGGTTGGGTTGACGCAATTAAAAATGGCCGTCTGCCTGAGTTTTTGCACGAAAACGATAGAATAGAATAACAGAGTTGGAATGGACTTTGGAGATCTTCTAGTCCACCCCCCTGCTTAGGCAGGAAACCTATATCCTTTCCGACAAATGGTTATCCAGTCTTTTCTTAAAAACTTCCAGTGTTGGAGCATTTACACCTTCTAGAGTTAAGCCATTCCTCTGATTAATCTCACTGTCAGGAAATTTCTCCCTAGTTCTAAGTTGCTTCTCTCCTTGATTAGTTTCCACCCGTTGCTTCTTCTCCTGCCCTCAGGTGCTTTGGAGAATAGCTTGACTCCCTCTTCTTTGTGGCAGCCCCTGAGATACTGGAACACTGCTGTCATGTCTCCCCTAGTCCTTCTTTTCATTAAACTAGACATACCCAATTCCAGCAACCATTCTTGATATGCTTTATAAAATCATCAGGTGTTGAGAAAGTAACGTTAACCAGAGATGAGTTTGTCCCTTCTGTGTCTCCCTCATAAAAAAATTCTTTCTTGGGATATAAATAAAGCCACAGAGGGACTATCACTTTTGTTTGCCTGCAAACCTTCCCTCTTCCCTCCAAAACCGGAGAATGCATGGGAAAGGCATACTTTGATTGCCGGTCTGTATTTACAGAGATGTGGATGAAACGATAAGCTGGATTAAGGAGAAAGAGCAGCTGATGGCTTCGGATGATTTCGGACGAGACCTTGCGAGCGTGCAGGCTTTGTTGCGTAAACATGAGGGCTTGGAGAGAGATCTGGCCGCTTTGGAAGACAAGGTGGGTGCCGCTGGGTGTTCTGAGCAAGGCTTCCGAGACCGTAATTAAGCACACGCTCAGTTAAAACAATCCCTGTTTTATTTCAATGCTGGGAATTATGTTCATTCCCAGCCCGTAATGAGTCCCAAACAGTCCCTCGAGATAAGCACCCACCTTTCTCCCCTTTGAATGGCTGCCAATAACTAAAGTGCCAAATTAACTGTAAAAATCCAGCCGAAGAACAAAGTCCACACAGAGCTTCAACTATTAATCTGAACAGAGTGAATGACTTTGCTTCCTGCAAAGGTTTCTTCACCTTTGCCTGTCCTTTATACCTTATGGGAGGGTCAATCACCTCCAAGCCTTACTCCCGAGTCGCCCCTTTTGTCTCAGCTGCTCTCGTCTTCTAGCAGCTCTGCGCATATGCACACTGGGAACAGGCTCCCCTTATTCCTCTGCCTCGCTGCCAGACTCCGGAGGCTCCAAGGTCAGCATCCCACTCCCAGATGGCCCTGGCCCCATCCCTGCATCGGACGCAGGACCCTCGTCCGAGTCCTCCCCAGACTCCCGGACTGGTCCCCGTTCTTCCCCATCGTCCGATTCTGCTGCCGGCTGCCAGCGAGCCACAACATTGGGAATGGGTTTGTGAGGGGTTGATCCTTTTTTCAAGTCTTGGTTTTGTTTTCAATCACCCAAAAGAATCCCACAGAAGAACCTCAAGGATTTGTGTCCATGTTGAACAAAGAGCTCTTTGAATCAATTAAATCAACTCCTGCTCATTCCCTTCTTTGCAGTTGTCAAAACACAGTTTAGTTTCATTCAGTGACAAAAGATTTGTTGTTGTTGAGCAAAATCCCCCCAAAATCTGTTACGTGCTAATCATGTTTGCTCAGTTACAGCCGTAACCTTAATTTATTTCCAGTATATTCCTAAAGAATAGTGTGGTTGTGGTGGCCTACAGGTGCAGCTGTCGCCTCACAATCAGGAGACTGTGAGTTCGATCCTAGGTAGAGGCCGATAGTCCTCTCTGGGCACAATGAGAATTTATCTGCTGGAAAAAAAACCCTCCGCATTGGTGACAGGAAGGGCATCCGGCCAGTAAGCACTCAGCTCCATTGAGTTGCCCAGAACTCTAACCCGCAAGGGATTATGGGGGTCATTAAAAAGTGATGATGATATTTGTCAATAATACGTGGGCATTTTTAAGAGTTTGACACAGTGTTCTTAACGTTCTTGTTAACCACTTTAATTGTTGCTTCCTTTTTTTCCCACGGCTTCTATTGCTCTGGGGGTTAATCTACGTTTCTCCGCCGTGTTTAGGTGAAGGCTCTGGGTGCAGAGGCTGACCGGCTGCAGGAGTCTCACCCTCTCAGCGCTTCTCAGATCCACGTGAAGCGAGAGGAGCTGATTGCAAACTGGGAGCAGATTCGCACCCGGGCTGCTGAGAGGCACGCACGCCTGAACGACTCGTACAGGTAAGATGCTATCGTGCTCGTAGCCCCCAAGCAACAAAACGTGGCAAAAGAAACGAAGATGGGAGAGACAGGGAGAAAGTTTTCGGTTGTGGCAGAGTTCAGGCAGGCAGGCAACACAGAACCTTGAACCTTTTGGGGTCTCCTGTGCCAAAAATTGCGCGCGCGCTTACGTGCGCACGCTCACATGCCAGCACCCAGAAGGCAAGGTGTGCACACACACCACTCCCCCTGTGCATGTGCGTGCAATCCCCCCCCCCCAAGCCGCCCCCTTACCTGCCCTGTGCCTTCCAGCCTATTTGAGGCCTTTTTCGGCTTCCCAGAGCCCCTGCAGGCTGAAAAATAGGCCCGTTTTGTTACTTCCGTTATTTCTGGAAATACAGGATTTGATGAAACGGGCCTATTTTTCGGCCTGCAGAGGCTGTAGAAGCTGTCCTCAAGCCTCTGGGCGGCCGAAAAAGGCCTCCAACAAGCCGAAGAATGAGCTGTGAGGCACGCGCATGTGCCGTGAAGTAAGTTTGCCTGCAGCTCACGTGCTGGCACAAAATGGCTCTGAGCACCCCCTGTGGCAAGCGTTGCCATAGGTTCACTATCATGGACCTGGGGTGACAGGATGGAGAAGCTTGGATTCATGTACAAGTGCTCTTTTTTCTTCTTCTTCTTCTTCTGCCTTTTCTCGTCACCCGAAGACTGCAGCGATTCCTGGCCGATTTTCGAGATTTAACGAGCTGGGTGACGGAGATGAAAGCTCTAATTAATGCTGACGAGCTTGCCAACGATGTAGCGGGAGCGGAGGCCCTGCTGGATAGACACCAGGAACATAAGGTAAGTGTGTGCCACCATGGACTCTGTCCCCTCCCTGAGGGATGGGACAGAAGCTTGGTAAGCAGGTTGAACTGCCGGTCGTCTTTGGCCAGCCTGATCGAGAGCAATGGCTTCCCAGGAATCCGTCCAACTGGCATGTCAGCTCATCTTCCCCTTAAAACCAGAACCTTGAGTAGCTACAAACAAGGGGGGTCAAGCGTCCAGCTGCTGCATTTTGAACGGAGTTTGTGGATGGGCCCACCAGGTCCTTCCTTGGTCCTTTCAGATACATTTTGGCCTCCAGAACCCTGCCCGATGGTTACCGGATGCTCATTTGTGGGTGTTGTTGTGTTTCTAACCGTGTGGCTCAAACTGATTTGAGAATGTGAACCGTGTTCCGACTGTTATTTGGCCGCAGGGAGAAATTGATGCTCACGAAGATAGCTTTAAATCTGCGGACGACTCCGGCCAGACCTTGCTAGCTGCCGGACATTATGCATCTGATGAAGTGAAGGAGAAGGTAAGCGACTTTACCGCCAGCGAGAAAGTGAAGGAGAGCGAGCGAGCGGGGGTATTTAGAGCCTGTGGGGTCCACGTTATTTCTTCCTCTCCTCTTAGGAAAGTTATTTTGACCAGCCCCCCCCACTCCTTAAATTGGCTTGATCTATATTATATCAGGGTTCCAAGTAATCGTTTCCCTGTCAAGCAGAACTCCAAGGCAGGCACATTCCTCAAAGAATAGCTCTGTTGGAAATATCATATTGGCACAGATCTGATGCAAACCGCCTCTGAAGATTCCCGCGGTTTCCACTTAGTTAAAAGATAAAGTTTTCCCACAATCCCAAACAATCAGTCACATCACATGGTCCAATCAAGACGCTGTCTGGTTGTCTGGTGACCTCACTTCTCCTTCCCACAGTCCAGGTGTGAGAATGTCCTTGGTTCTCAAGAGAAAGTATTTTGTTTTGGCTACCCAAGCCCCTCTTATCTCTAATCCCTCCTCCCTTTCCCTCAGCTCCAGTGTGGCAACACTGAAGCTCCAATATGGCTCCGCTCAAGTCATCTTCAGGGTTAACATATTAAGTATCTTAACTGCCACTCTGATAAGGAAACCAGGAATAGGCAAATAGGTTTTTCCAGATCAACCCTCTTCTTAAGAACGTGTGGACTGTTTGAGGTGGCTGCCTCTGACCTCCAGATGGTTTCTTCTTTTACTCTCAGCTGACCATCCTCTCCGAGGAAAGAACGGCTCTGCTGGAACTCTGGGAGCTTCGCCGGCAGCAGTACGAGCAATGCATGGACCTCCAGCTTTTCTACCGGGACACCGAGCAGGTGGACAATTGGATGAGCAAACAAGAGGTGAGCGGACGGATCTACCAACTTCGGCTTGGCGCCTTGCAGGCATCCTGCCCTCGAAGGCTGGGAGGGGGAACAAATGGACAAGCAACTGAATGTGTACGTGGTGGGAAATTGGATTGGGGGGGGGGGAAAGACAGGCTGACGAAGAGCAGGAGAGCTCGGAACCAGTTTGTACCGTGCACCCTGAGAAAGAATGTGGGTTACCCTAAACCAGGGGTCCCCATCCCCCAGTCCAGGGAACGGCACTGGCTCGCGGCATGCCAGGACCTGGGCCATGCAAACAAACAAGCAAAGCCCCCTTTGTGGGATGCAGGCAGCATGTGAAACCTTGTCTCCTCTGATCCGTGGAAAAACCTCTTTCCATGGAACCGGTCCTTAAGGCCCAAAAGGTTTGGGGGCCACTGCCTTGACCATGGCCAGATCTTGTGCGTCCTGGATATTCTGCCTTCTACCCAAACGGCCCTTCTGTTGTCCATCTTCCCTGGTGGCCTATCTGCTTTGCTAAATCTGGCCCTTTCTGTTTTCGTGTTGTCTTTCTTTTACAAGGCCTTCTTGCTCAATGAAGACCTTGGGGACTCTCTGGACAGCGTGGAGGCCCTGCTGAAGAAGCATGAAGATTTTGAGAAGTCACTTAGTGCCCAAGAAGAGAAAATCACCGTAAGCCGTTTTTTGTTTTGTTTATTTCCCCGGAGTGATAAGCAACAAATGGTCCTCATACCACTTGATTTTTAAAAAAAATACTTTTAAAAAATAAAATACTTAGCAATAGAGTTTTGTTTTTCCCGTTTGCTATAGTTATAGCCACATATTTGAGAACTTAATCCAAGTTAAATTCCCTAGAGTGGAAGATGGCACCATCAAAGTTACTGTTTTAAGCCTTCACTAATTGAGCTAAGCTATCCCTGGTTACATGGCCCAGATTTTCATGTTTTAGCCCCATTACAAGATACCCTCTATAATTGGAATTGGTTCCAGGTCATTAAACCAATTAAATTATTCATCAGAACTTGCTATTTGACCATTCTGAAAGATAATCTTGGCTGTTTTTTCAAACAGGACACGCTTGATTAGGTATTAAGGCGGGGACTTAATAACCCACTTTGGTTTTGTACCCCTCAAGGCAGCATAGATAAGACTCCCTTTTTTATTTTCCCCAACACAACCCTGTGAGGTGGGTTGGGCTGAAAAAAAATACCTTTGGCCCAAGGTCACTTGTCTGGCTCCCGTGTCTAAGGAAGAGAGATGTATACCAGTTGAGATTAAAATTTGGGGGAAAGTTATCAGATAGCTGTGCGTTGTTTTCTTCAGACTGAAGGATAAATCCTGCATTTATTTTAATTGTTTTGGTCCATGATGTAGGATATGATTATAATCCCGCTTCAAATCCCTTTGGTGGTAAGTAACAATTCCACCTGTCTCCACCCACTCCCTGTGTCCATGCTGGGAGTTACATTTCACAAACTCTTGATGCTGATGAGAGGTTTATTTATTTCTGCAGAGTTTTGAATCATGAATCATTCAAAAGGGTTATAATCAATATCCCGTTTCCTGAATAAACGAATAGCGTTTTGTTTATAGGCTCTGGATGAATTTGCAACCAAACTGATTCAGAATAACCATTACGCCAAGGAAGACGTGGCTACCCGCAGAGACGCTGTAAGTTTCAAATGCAACTTCATTTCTTGCGTATTTCCTAGTGGGGCTTCTTTGTTTGTATCTTTTTTGGGGATGCGGGGAAAGGGAAGATAAATTATCAGAAGGTTGCAATTGAAAGAAAAACAGATGGAATCCAAAACTGTTGCTGTCAATTGAGGCTTGTCTGTTCCTATCTTCCGCCAGCTGCTGAGCCGTCGCAACACCTTGCACGAACGGGCCATGCTGCGTCGAACGCAGCTGGCCGACTCCTTCCATCTGCAGCAGTTTTTCAGAGACTCGGACGAGCTGAAAAGCTGGGTCAATGAAAAGATGAAAACCGCAACGGATGAGGCTTACAAGGTGTGGCTGCCATGTGATATATATTGTTGGGGGGGTGTATAAGAGAGAGGAGAGAGAAAGAGAACAAGAGAAAGAAAAGGAGAGAGAGAAAGAGGGGGGGAAGAAAGGAAGAGAAAGAATTAGAGATTCTGTTTATATATAGCACCACAGAGCAAACGAAAGAGTACAGTCACCATGTGCTTTACTGCTCAGCTATTTTAAACTGTAACATGAAACAGGAAACTACTTAAAACAAAAGAGCATAGAGTATATACCATAGATCCAAGCTTGTAAACCCTGCCATCTACTGGCTGAATACTACTGTAGTTGTTGCATAAAATAAATTCCAACAATGAATTGCAACAAAAATAAAGGATGTTCTAGTCCAGGGTTGGTTTCTTTTATTCTCTTGAATACACCCTACATCATCTGTCCCAAAGTCCTTTTCTACAATTGGCCAAACTATGCCTCTTTCCCCAGCGTTCATGCAGCCAGTCCCTTCTCCCTTTACAAAAACAATACAGATAGTCCTCAACTTACAACACTTTGCTTAGTGACCATTCAAAGTTATAAGGGCACTGAAAAAAGTGACTTATGTCTGTTTTGCACACTTGCGACTGTTGCAGCCTCCCCTCGGTCACGTAATTCAGATCCTTGGCATCTGATTCATATTTATGACGGTTACAGTGTCCCGGGGTCACATGATCCCCTTTTGTGACCTCCTGAGAAGGGAAGCCAGATCCGCTTAACAACCGTGTCACACACTAACAACTACAGTGATTCACTTCACAATTGTGACAGGAGAGGTTATAAAATGGGGCAAAACTCACTTAAACGTTTCACTTAGCAACAGAAACGTTGGGCTCAATTGTGGCCATAGGTTGAGGATGGCCTGCAGTATCAAGAGATGCTTCTTCTAATAGTTTCCAACAATTCTGGAGCCAATTCCTCCTAAATCAGGAACGCCACTTTGCTGTCCTTTTTACTGTTATAACCCCGTCTCCCATGACCCTTAGCACCCAAGGTTGACCTTAACTCAACTGCCGTTGTATCTGGTCTCCGTTTCGTAGGACCCATCCAACCTACAAGGGAAGGTCCAGAAGCACCAGGCGTTCGAAGCCGAGCTCTCGGCCAATCAGAGCCGCATCGATGCCCTCGAGAAAGCCGGCCAGAACCTGATGGACGTCAAGCATTACGCCTCGGACGAAGTGGCCATTCGCATGAACGAAGTCATCAGCTTGTGGAAGAAGCTGCTGGAAGCTACTGAGCTGAAAGGTACCAAGGTGGAGAGAGAGGAAGGGATGGAGGGAGGGAGGGAGGAAGGAAGGAAAGACAGGAAGAACGATGGGGTCTCAAAACTTCCCTTCTCCATTCCAGGGATCAAGCTGTGCGAAGCCAATCAGCAGCAGCAATTCAACCGCAATGTGGAAGACATTGAGCTGTGGCTGTACGAAGTGGAAGGCCACCTGGCTTCTGACGACTACGGCAAAGACCTCACCAATGTTCAGAATCTACAGAAGAAACACGCCCTGCTGGAGGCAGATGTAGCTGCCCACCAGGTAGAGCCCCTTCTCTTCCCCCACCTGCCCGGCCCTCCCCTCGAGGTAGACCAGGCGTGATTGGAGGGCTGCAGAATTAGAATTAGAATCCTTCATTGGCCAAGTGGGATAGACACACAAGGAATTTGTCTCCGGCGCATAAGCTGCAGAGCTAGAACTAGAATTATTACAATTGCAATTAGAATTCTTTATCGACCAGGTTTGATAGTCACACAAGGAATTTGTCTCCACTGCATAAACTGCAGAATTAGATTAAAATTATAATTCTTTATTGGCCTAGTTTGATAGACCACAAGGAATTTGTCTCTAGCGCATAAACTGCAGAATTAGAATTAGAATTAGAATTCTTTATCGACCAGGTTTGATAGACACACAAGGAATTTGTCTCTGCTGCATAAGCTGCAGAATTAGAAATAGAATTCTTTATTGGCCAAGTGTGATAGACACACAAGGAATAAGCTGCAGAATTAGATTTAGAATTAGAAATTACAGTTACCATTCTTTATCAGCCAGCTGTGATAGACACACAAGGAATTTGTCTCTGGTGCATACGCTCTCAGTGTACATACATGCAACAAGTGATAAATCATGATCATAATCATAAAATACAATAACCATAAATTATGTGATAGATAGGATACTTAAATAAAACAACATAAATCATGCTGGGATACTAAACAAAGGCAATTAACATAAACCATGAGATACATGCATAAGTCATACGAACTTGTTCAGGGTAGGGAGAGGTGGTTCTTGCTGCTGATCTTGTTCTTGTTTTAGGACCGCATCGATGGCATCACCATCCAGGCACGCCAGTTTCAAGAGGCCGGGCACTTTGACGCGGACAACATCAAGAAGAAGCAGGAAGCTCTGGTGGCCCGCTACGAAGCCCTGAAGGAGCCGATGGTGGCCCGCAAGCAGAAACTGGCGGACTCCCTCCGCCTCCAGCAGCTCTTCCGCGATGTCGAAGACGAAGAAACATGGATCAGAGAGAAGGAGCCGATCGCAGCGTCGACCAACCGAGGTTAGCGCAGGGTCGGTCCTCTTGGAGAGAGTGCGAGATGTGCAACGTGTCCACCACTCATTGATAACAATTGCTGGTTTTGAGCAGCTGATCGATAACGCCACATAAAGGGAATGTCATGCCTCTGTCAGAATCTGATTCAGAGGGGGAGGCCAAGCAGCTGACAGGGAGTGGGAGTGTGGCTCCATTGGCTGTGGAGGAAACTGGGGAAGGGCAAAGGCTGGCTGGGCAGAGGTAGAGGTAGAGCAAGGGAGAGGGAATTCAGAGGAAGACCCAGGCCCACCCCCTCTTTCTCCAAGGGCACGCAGGGAGGGATGGAGAAGAGAGCAATGTGGGTTGCGTGGCTTAAGGGGGAGGAAAGGGCCCTGATTCCCTTCATTAGCTGCAGCTGGGAACACAGTGTTTAAAAGGGGAAGCTGAGCACAGCCAACTGTTGAGAGCAAATCATGAATTATCTGGTGTCGTAGAGGCGTCTTCCCAACTGTGTGTGTTTTGCTGGCCTTTCAAGTCTGCAATTCCTTCTCCTGCCCCGTCAAGTTAATTATTTCAGTGTGGATTTTTAGTTAGTTTGTATATACTTTGTTTTCGGACTGAATTTCCTCCACTTAAAGGCTGTCCTTGGGAGAGTTTTTTTCTCCAGCCGAAGGTAACCTGGACATTGGGGGCAAAGTTGGAGATACTAAAGGGACTCTTCTTACTTATGGGACTGTGTTGCCTTTGTGCCACATCCCTTTGGGTCATCACAGGGAAATACAGGTCATCTTCGATTTACAGCAGCCCATTGAGTGACTGTTTGAAGTTACGATGGCACTGAAAAAAGTGACTTCGAACCACTTTTCACACTTAACGACCATGGCAGCCATCCCAATGGGTCACGTGATTTATATTTTGGATGTTGACATCTGATTCATATTTACGATGGTTGCAACGTCCCAGGGTCATATAATCGTCTTTTACGATATTCTGACAAGCGAAATCAATGGGGAAGCCAGGTTCACCTAACAATTGGGTACCTGATTTAACAACTGCTTCGATTCACTTGTCAAACATGGCAAAATGGGGGAAAACTCACTGAACCAACGGCAAAATAAATTCTGCGCTCAATTGTGGTCATACTTCGTGGACTATCTGTATTTACAACCTAACGGTGGCTTATGACAGCCCTTAACGTTTCTTTTATTTAGGGATTGTAATCATTTTTATGGGAGTATCTGCTGATCACGTCCTTCCCTTCTCATTGCAGGCAAAGACCTCATTGGGGTCCAGAACCTGCTAAAAAAGCACCAAGCTTTGCAAGCGGAAATTGCTGGCCATGAGCCCCGCATTAAAGCCGTCACCCAGAAAGGAAATTCCATGATCGACGAAGGTGCGTCCTCTTCCTCTTCGTATTTCTTATTTATTTTATTTACTCGTCAAAAACAAAACTTACAAATTTGAACAAGCAAAATTAAAACATTAAAATGGGACAGGGATGACAAGCATGTTAGTGCACCAACACTCCCCTTTTAGGGGACCTCTTAAAGATGAGGTGAGGTCCACAAAAATTAAGGTAGATTTAAAAACTGAAAAGTTAGTCGCTGAGACAACTAAATCGGGTAAAGATATTCCAGGCTCTGAAAACTCTTGTTACAAAGATCTTTTTTTTTTACAAATCGAGTATAAAGCAGTTTAAATGTAAAGCTGTTGTTTGCACGCATTACATTACGATGTCTCTTAGTGAAAGAAACTTCCTTTCCATTATTTCTACGGAGATCCTCAGTCATCCAGGACATCGTTGTCCCAAAATTGCTTTTTTTTTCCAAGAGGCAACTGGACTTTCTGGTTTTCCTCTGAAGACGTTTCGCTTCTCATCCAAGCAGCTTCTTCAGCTCTTGACTGGATGCTGGTGGGGGGAATGGAAGGGTTTTATACTCCTTGCGGATAGCTGGTCATTTGCATCCTTTTTAGAGAGTCATTGTGGCCACTTGGAGAGGTTTTATCTGTGTCCTCAGGGCCACCTGAGTCCTTGAGAAGTTGGAGCTGTGCCTTCTGCAGGACCTTTGTCCCTTCACTGTTGAACAAAGATGCAGGCAGCTGGGGATGAGCCTGTGTTGTCTGCATCTCAAGCTGAAGCGCCAATGCTTCTTGTAGTGGACAGTTTTTTCTGGAAATCCGTCCATTTCCATTCCACTCACCCCTGCTTTCTCCAGGGAAGCGTCAGAGAATCAGCCTCCCTCCCTCCCTCCTCCTCCTGGTTCATTTTCTCAGCAAGGAGCCTCCCTCGTGGAGGAAACTCCAATCGACGCCAGGCTCCGGTGGGCAAGAGCCGTATTGCCTCCCCACCTCCAAATCTTCACCGGGACAACGTGCTTCTTTGTTGCTTTAGGGCATTTCGCCGCGGAAGACGTGAAAGCCAAGCTGAACGACCTCAACCAGAAGTGGGAAACCTTGAAAGGGAAGGCCTCTCAGCGCCGGCAAGATTTGGAAGACTCTCTGCAGGCGCAGCAGTACTTCGCCGACGCCAACGAGGCTGAGTCTTGGATGAGGGAGAAGGAGCCCATTGTGGGCAGCACGGACTACGGAAAGGACGAGGACTCCGCTGAGGTGCGTCCCTTTGTTCCTAGATCACCAACCGGGCACGGTGTGAAGCTCTTGCACGAGAACGTCCGACTTGGTCCGTAGGCCGCCCCAAGAGAGGTTCTACAGATGAGGGTTGTTTTTTTTCCTCTCCTCCTTTCAGGCTCTTCTCAAGAAACACGAAGCTCTGATGTCCGATCTCTCCGCCTACGGCAGTAGCATTCAAGCACTGAAGGAGCAGGCCCAGGCCTGTCGGGTAAGGAGAAGGGATGTGGATGTCTCGGGATCCAGTCTGGGACCTGAGGTTTTTGTCTTCCGGGTTTGTGCTGGAGCCCGTCTTCAGGGAATTTCTCTCCAGCAGAGTGTGTGCTTTGGGCTGTGGTGTGTGTGTGGTACAGTACAGTAGAATAGATATAGATACAGACATAGAAATAGATATAGACATAGGATAAGAATGGAATGGAATGAAATAGAAATTAGAATAGAATAGAATAAAAATGTAAATGGAATGGAAAAAGAATAAGGAAAGAATGAAATGGAATGGAATAGGATAGAAATAGAATAGAATAGCAGAGTTAGAAGGGACCTTGGAGGTCTTCTAGTCCAGTCCTCTGCCTATGTAGGAAACCCTACACCACTTCAGACAATTGGTTATCCAACATCTTCTTAAAATCTTTCAGTGTTGGAGCATTCACGACCTCTGGAGGCAAGTTGTTCCACTGGTTAATTGTTCTCACCGTCAGGAAATTCCTGCTTAGTTCTAAATTGCTTCTCCCCTTGGTTAGTTTCCACCCGTTGCTTCTTGTCCTACCCTTACATGGTGCCTGTTGCGTGTGACCTTTTAGGTGTCGGTGGCTGGCTATTAGGTCCTTGGCTGTTGTTTGCTTCTGCTGCCAAGCCTCCTCAGTACTTGATAAGCCGGTGGTAAATCAGCCCTCCTGTTGACTGACAAAGGGGCTGTTTCCCAAATGTTGATGCCCCTCACAGTCCAGCTCTGAAGTGTCCTGACCAGGAGAATAAGGATCCTGAAGTCCAAGGATCCACCCTTGGAATATTGAGTCCAAGGAACCCTTTCCCTTTTCCAGCAACAAGTGGCTCCTACCGATGACGAAACGGGCAAAGAGCTGGTCTTGGCCCTCTACGACTACCAGGAGAAGAGTCCCCGCGAGGTCACGATGAAGAAGGGGGACATTCTGACTCTCTTGAACAGCACCAACAAGGTGAGAAGAAACAGATCCTGTGAGATCCTGAACCAGCCGCAAAACCTTCAAGACCTTCCAGCTATGAGGGGGGTCTTTGGTGCTCTCTGAGCTTGCTGGCTTCCTTGCAGATGTTTCATGACCCAACTAGGGAACGTCATCAGTGCTGTAGTACTCTAGTAGGCTAGCCCTGATGAGGTTACCTAGTTAGGTAACATGAAATGTCTGTAAGAAAGCAAGCAAGCTCAGAGAGCACCGAGGACCCCACAGTCCTCTGCCTTCATCCCTCCTCCTCTTCCTTCACACACCCCACTCCCTTCTAGCGCTGATGATGTTCCCTAGTTGGGTCATGAAACATCTGCAAGAAAACAAGCATGCTCAGAAAGGACCCCACAGTCTTCTCTTCCTCTGTCCACAAAGCCCACTCCCTTCTAGCACTGATGATGTTCCCTAGTTGGGTCATGAAATGTCTTCAAGAAAACCACCAAGCTCAGAGAGAACCAAGGACCCACAGACGACTTCCTCTTCCCTTTATCCTTCCTCCTCCTCCTCTGTCCACAAACACTCACTCCCTTGTAGCACTGATGAT